AATAAGACACACTTTACAAAATAACATAATTTAAGAATTTCCAATGTGAATGTTGCTTAGATGAAAAAAAATCTTTATACATTTAATACTTTTCATTTTGTATAATTCACTTTGACAAGAAAAGCTTTTCCTCTAGCTTATTCTGTTTATTCAAACTCAGTGTCTACAGTAAGCTGCCATATTGTCACATTACTTTTATTTTTTAGTAATCCCAAATTATTACTATGTTTAAAGTACATAGGAATAAAGACTGAAAGGAATTTCAGGGATCATCTAACCCAATATTCCACATTTGAAGGCTTTTATGTCATAATATTTTTCATAAACTTTGCAAGCTTCATATAAAATGAGCTTCATTTTGGCCCATAAAGTTCCTTACAGAAAACTTTCCAAACCCTCATTTCTCTGATAGTTCAACCCAAGTGTGTTCATGGCTGCTGAATACGCATTTGCTCTCCTGTCAACATTGTTCTTATCTTGAATAGATTTTCTCCCTCTCTGCAATTTGCCCATACTAATGTATTTATAGAAAACAATTATATATCCTCTCAGTCTTTGTTTTACTGGGCTAAATTCTCATGCCTCTGAGCTCTCATAATCTCTCCTGTTAAAATAGGCTCTCTTGATCTAAAGTTATTGCATAATTGTCTTTACATTTTTTCCACATTCTAAAAATACCCGTAAGATCACCAAGTTGTTTTTATTGTTTGATTTGTTTGGGTTTTTTGGATTTTTTTTTTTTTTTGAGTGGGGGAAGGGATGTTTAGGGCTGTCTTTTAAAAACATATCAACCTTTGTGAAAAATATTTGTCTGATAAAATATACAAATGCATCTGTATTTTATCCTTCTCTTGGAATCAAGAAAATATTGTGATCTTTTTGCTTAGTCATTTTCAGTTGGTGACAGCCAGATTATTAGCAAAAATCTCTTGATTAGTCCATTCTGATTAGATATTCATATCACAAAACTAACTAATTTTTGATAGAGCTTAAAAGCATAACTTGCACTCAAACTAAGAAAAAAAAAAACACCTTAATGATTTTGATCTTTGATACTTCCAATCCCTTTTTACTTCACTGTGGTGATGCCTGTAGCATCACTCCTCCCTTGTATATCCTTCTTCTATTTTGCACTATGACCAAGGTTTACAAAGGGGCAAGTGCCTTTGTTCAGCTGTGTTGTTATGTCTGGCATCTCCAATGAGCTATGTTGAAAGGTCCTAGCAGGGAGCATGGAATTTGACAACTGAACCTTGTCCTCAAATCCCAGTCTGATCTCCATCTGCCTCTGGCAAGACTATACTTCTCAAGCCTTCGTTTCTGGAGATGGTATCAAATGACACTTTGGGTAGAAATAGTATCCCATATGTACCTAGATATATATGAATCTGAACAGGAAAAGTATACCAGGACTTCTGGATGCCATTACCTTTCTATCTTTCAGGTTAATTTGTATATTGTTTCAGTTATCTTTTCACCTTCACCTCCTCTCCTCTAACTGCAAAGTAAAATACAAAATCTGTAAATTCTGAATGCAGATCCCGTTATATACTTTACTGAGCTTTGGCTCAATCGTCTACTTTTAATCAGAACACCAACCTAGGATGTCATGATTTTTACTTCTGCCTTTCAAAACTAAGAATTTAAAATGAATTCTTTGAAATTAAAATTACCACAGAAAATTCTACTGACATGACTATACATGAAAGTTGCACCAGATTACCTTAGCTAAGTTTATTTAATATGTTGAACTGCTCCATTACTTGTATCTGTACTTGTTCACTCTGCTTTGATTTAGCTGAAAGTGACTGCCTCTAGGTTTAAATCTAACTGCAGCAATACACTGTATCAGTTAAGAAAAAGAGAATTAAATCTTCTCTTCTAGTCAATTACTGGGGGCAATGTAGTCCTCTTGTTACTCATGTTTAGTTTGCTATGATCTTCACCGATTAGAAGAGACACACCAGCATCTATCCTAATCACATACTTTCTTCCTAGTGCCTGGTTCCTAATGGTTTTGGGAAACAGAGAAGGTAAAAGCCATGAAAATGTCAGGAAGCTACGATACACTGAGAATAGTTCAAAATAGAGTCCAAAAGTGGTGACCAAAGTGCAGAACAAAAAGTAGGAGAAGAGCAAAGGTTCTCTGTATCTGGCAATTCCTTTGAACTCTCACCACAGGAAAACAGACTTTAAAGGAGAGTACACGGGTCAGGAATTGCTATGTTTTCCTTACAACTGAACCGTCACAAAAACTGCCACAGCCAAGAGCCATTTATTTAATTCTGTGCTCATTGCTTTTTACTGACAGGGCTGATAGAAAAGCTGGGGCTATTTTGCTGCTGTGTTTGCTGATCAGCTGGTGAGAAGTGCAGATGACGGACAGTATTCAGGCAACTAACTCTTACACTGAGAGCATACATGATCTAAGAAACTGTAAAGTAAAAGAGATGGTTTGTGCTAAGATAAGGTGTGCATGTGCAAGGCTTGGACACTGTAACTTCTTGGATAAATGGACATTGATCAATTTTAAGTCATAGTGACAACTTCCATCAGTACAGGTACAGCCAGCAGATCTCCTAACACTGGAGAAATCCCTTCTGTAAGAAGGTCAATTGGTGGTTTTTGTGTCACAAGATGAATGCCATTGTTTGGATTAATAAAAAGATCATTACACGACAGAGCTCTGCAAGCTCCATGAAGGTCTCAAAATGAGGAAGTTTCCCTAAACCTTTTCATCTCTATAATAGAAAAAGGTATCCTGCAAATTAGTACTCTGATACTAACCACACTGGAAGATTCATCACCTGAGATGGCCTAAGAAGCAGAGTTTGAGGCTGATAGGGGCAACCTTCACTGTTTAAACAGGTAGATCATGATGGGAGTCAGTGCTGAAGCTGACTCATTAGCTGACTCTCCGTCCTCATTAGGCTCAGATAAATAAACTTGGCTGATTGGTGCAGAGAAATATTGTTTTGCCTACGATTTCTGTGATCCATGTTCAGAACACAAGGAGATAGTCTGCTCAAAAAAGTGGGAGGTTAGCCTGAACAATGTCTGGGAACTGCACCTCTTTTGGATTTATATGGAAGCAGCAATGAAAACAACATAAAAAGTAGATCCATTTTAGAATTTGACAAAGTAAAGAAAGTTTAGGAAGGGAAATTCAGACTGCATCACGTCTTGAAAATCTCATATTTAATGAATTCTAGAGACAAAAAGGCAAGTCATGCTGGAGATCTCTTAATGCCCATGACCTTAAGCAGAGAATTGGATTTGGATGGATCTTGTCTGGCAGGTTAGGCTGCTACTTACCTGCTTGTACAGACTTGCTGGTTGAATATTGGCATAGCTTGGTAGGAAGATTTAAAAGTGACGCTGACAAGAAAAAACGCTCAAAATGCTTTTGTTTACATTAGGTGACAGTTTTTAAAAAAATAGATCGAAGACAGAATGACTCTGCAATCAAAAAAGTTTTTGTAAAGTGCTTTTACATAATAAAAAAGCTTATTTAAATGACAAGAGATATAAATAACTCAGGGTTACAACTAACAGATGAAAGTGAAGTGTAATAAGTTGCAAAGAAAAACTAACAATACATCCATAAATGGGTTTATTTTCTTTGAAACAGAAAGGAAAGAAAAAGAAAACAATACTTGTGAAAAGAGATTTGAAACATAGAGCCAAATAATTTTGTCGCAGTCCATTTTAAAGTCTTTTTGTTAAAGAGAAAAAAGGGAAGAATAAGCAGAGACTAGGAATAGAAGGAAGAGAATAATCTTCCCAAATATTTGCAGTAATTTTGACCTGTGTTTTTTATCATGTTTTGGTTTCAGGTTTTAGCCTGTAGCTTTCAAAATTGTGTGGAATGCCCAAGTGGCTTAGTAGAGTAAGGTTGATGAACAGATTTCATCATTAATAAAATACTCTTTGTGACTAATAATCCCTTCAAAAGGAAGAGCTTTCAAATATAATCAAGATCTTCCTCTCTTTGGAATGTTCATGATTGGGAAAGTATTTTCCAAGTGGGAAATATTTTGTACTTTGTATTTTCCTTTTATTTTCAGATTGGAAAAACTGCTAATAAGTGGAAAGCAAACTCCATGGGGACTTCTCTGAAACAATATAATGGAGAAAAAAATAGCATTTTTTACATGTTGTTTTTTTTTTAATGTCTGGATGTGGAAGGTATACTTAACTATAAATATTTAAATAAACAGTTCTCAAAACAAAATTTAGAAAAAGTGATCATTTTGCATCATTCAAAGAAATTCCATTGGATTTTCATTAAAGCAATTCTTTGATTGGAAAAAAACATGCAATTTAGATGCTCATAATTGTTTCAGTACATTTTTTACCTTTTTCTCAATTACTTGCATAATTTAATTCACTTTTTCTTCATGTATGACATTATGAATTAAATCTGATGAATATAGTTAACTACAGTCTGCATATGTGGACTATGATTTCTGGCAGAACATGATCTTCAGCATGTATGCCACCTCAGCTCTTTTCATAAAGAAAAAAGCTTGAGGTTTTTTGGTAGTAGATTTGTCTACTAGAAAAAGATGGCTGAAGGAAGCATCTCCTACTGAGGCCACTCAGTTCAAATTTTCCAAGTGAAAAAAGGTCCTACAGGAAAATAATTGCTGTCTTTTCTCACCTTTTCCCTACTTTTTAAAAAATTGCTTAAGCTGGAAAATCTAGGTTTTAGACTGGATCCATGGTGTGTACACGTAAAAACTACCATGTTTTTATCTCAGATTTTTCACCAAAAAATCTACAATTTTCTGTTTTCCTGAGCTCAGGAAAGCAATTACATTTGTAATACAGCTAATCTCAGAGGCCTAAGATAGGTGAAAATCAGAAATAATTGAACACTCTGTTCTGGGTTACAGTACAGAAGCTTAACTTACTTTCAGAACCACACAGAAATTTTTATCTGAGGGCGAAAAAGTTGAGAGGTGGCTTAATGCTGACCTGAGGAACTGAGAAGAAATAAAACTATAGATCAAAATTAGAAATTAGATCAAATGACATTATACCTCTCAAAGGTAGATTTTGACACACTCTAGTTTTATTCTTTGATAAAATATCTGTTTCTTTATACAGATAAAATACATAGGATTTATTAGTGTTGTCGCATGACAAATCATTTTCTTCTGGGCATTAGTATAAGAACTACGAGAAATATAAAGAAAAATAAGCATAGTTTGTGCTGATAATATAATGGGAAAAAAATCAGAACATTTGGGGGGATATATTTTTTATATTATTTTTATCAATGGGGGTAGAAAAATGCTAATTTCCTAATGAAATATTTTAATGGCACAACTGTGCTCTCCTTAAAACTAAAAAGACTTGGATTCCACACACTTCGTCCCATGCCCTAGGAATATAACATATAATATTAATAACAGAGTGATCAGTAATCAATATGAAGTAAAAGAGATGATTTTTAAAAACAGGACTTTTTGATATAGGCTAGGAGCTCACTGCATGTAAGCAGTTGCATAGGAATTAGACTTGTTTGGTTAACTGCTTATGGAGTAACTCTTGGCTTTGAAAAACACATGGCTATGAAAAAAGGCAATTGTTTTAAGTCAGGTAAGATACACTCAGAAAAGACACAGAAAAAAAATAAAAATCTGTTTATGGAAGGTTGATATAATTCCACCTGAAAGAAACTATTTTAGTCAGATGTCATCACCTAGTCTTCAAGAATTATTAAGAGGAAGATATCTAAGCACTGAAACTGGAGGATCTATTTTTATTACTGCTTCTCTTGTATGGCAGAATGAGGCAATGACTAGGAGAGGAAAGACTTCTTTGGTTTTTGTTCTAATAAAACTGTGAAATTTATGCACCCATCCATCACACGCACAATCAGATTTTGTTTTTAAAATTTGTGGTGACAGCTGTGGTCTGCAAGAGAAGACTTTATTCTGGTATTTTACCTTCACATAAAATTCATTCAGTGTCATTATAACCTGTGCCTTTACTGCACTCTGGTTCTAGTAATGTCGTTGATTCTGTATTCATGTAAATAACTGCATTAATAGATTAGATTGACCATAACTAGACTTCAATGTTGCACAATACAAATGGTCTTTACCTTTCAAGATTTATTAATTTTATTTTATAGTTGATGCTTTGGCCTCATGATACAATATTTTCTGAAATGCAGGTGGTGAATTTTGGGTTGAACTTCTATATACATCAGGTACTACAACCTGATAAATCTTAGCAGTACTTCTCCATCACATTTCTGAAAGTTTAATCTCATCATTCTACTATGTCTACGTTGTTCCCTCAAGTGCTGTGCATTTTTGTGATCTTAAAAAAAAGATTATTTTTATGGGAAACTTACTATTCTAAAATTTCTTGGGGATACTAGATGCAGTTGGCATGTTGTAGTTTCTAAGACGGGTTAATTATGACGATGCTATTTCACCCTTGACTGAAAAATTGTCCTCAGTGTAAGCAAGTTAAGACCTTGTTGTCATCACTGGTCTACTTTTAATTGCACTTTCAGAATTCATAGAACAGTGCATTATGTCTGGTCCCAGTGCATTTTCAAAATGACATTACAGTTCTGCAGTCTAAATGACCATATTCTCTTATGCAAAACATAAGCACAAGCACTGACAAAGACCACTTGCTACCATGGTGATAGGAGGATTTCCCTCACTCTGCCCCCACAGTTAAACACATTCCTTCTGCTTCTTGAGATCTAGGTGCTTTAAATCATCCCTAGAAAAAAAAAATAAAAGGAATTTTTACTGTCATACTTTACAAAACTAATATTTTAAAATATTCTAGGGTATTCTGAAACTTAAATTAGTGGAAGAATTAAGTTATTTTCATTAAAACTTCAAGGTAAGAATAAAAGAAAAAGATGTTGAGTTGAAAGAAAGAAAATGCTCACTGCAGTCATGAGCATAGAGGTCTATAGATTTAATTAATTAAACATTTCAAGGGAGTTCTGATAAATAAAGTTAGCATTTTAATTTAATTATACTAGAAACCCAAAATGTTTTAAACATAATCTGAATACTTCTCTCAATGCAAACCATTAGCTCCTTTCTAACAGATCCTCCACTACACCTTTACCCAAAAGTATAGCAAACAGTGGGAAATTTTTTCATGTCTGCTGATTTAGACTGATTCCAGGAAGTACAATACATACAAAAAGCAAGCCTAGAATATGAATGTGTCTTTGAGCATGATTGAGTCTTCACTTTGAGGAAATATATTGCTAACTTTAAATACTTGACCAGCAAATATTTTATGCACCACTCTAGGCATACATTCATTCTAACTCACATGTAGCAGTCAAAGTGCATAAGGAACAGACAAACTACGTAGAGCTATTAATTCAGATGTTAAGCAAATTAGCTTACATTGAACAGAATTATAAGTCATCTCCATAAAGTTCTTCATTCAAAGACTTTGTTGGTCAAATGTGGGATTGTAAAAAAAACACACCTTAAATAAAGTATTCTTTTCTTCAGATTCAGGATTGCTGTGTTTCACTTCCTATTATTCAGTTTCATGCATGCTCATGTATTCTTGCTTTATCTTCCTAGGTTTAGATTTAACCAAGAATGAAGCTTATACTTATTCTATATCAGTGGATCTATTTCATTTATTGGAATTGTTCAGTATATGCATCTGAACAAGTATACATCCTGTTCAGTTATCATTCTGAATCCTAGGCATTATAAAAGATTTTCATTATCAGTTGACACTTTCCACAGTTTCTGAACAACAAAATACTTTATTCTGATGATTTTTTTTCCCTGTGTAACTCAAAGGCAAGATTTCTAATACCAAAGCAGCCTTCTGAGACAAAGCTTTGCAACAATATTCCTTAACAAGAAATATTAACATACCTTGACAAAATTCTACTTGTTATTCTGGACTCGGTAGCATTCTTTATTCTGCAGTTAACTGTGAGTCCTGAACCCTCAGTAAGTTCTCAATTTCTCTTACAAGACAAGAATTCTTTCTATTTTCCCGTGGCTCATTACTGTACAAATTCTTTACCTTTTTCAAAGTTAATTTTGAATTTGCAAGGGTCTGGGGTTTGTATTGATTTTGTCTACTAGGTGGTAGATGTGTTCCAAGATTACTCCTCTGTTCTACTAGTCCAATATTTTCACAAAATTAATTCGTTCACGTTTTTTTCAAAAAGTATATCTGATAGGCTTCATATACATATGAAATGTCATATTACATACATAATTCTTACTGTCAAAGATGATTAAGAGCTATTAAATACAGCAGTCATGACCTTCTCTACCAGCCAACAGTCTCTTAAAAGAGATTATGAGTTAGGAACCATATTTTCAGAAATAAATATTCATTACAGATGAGTTACTTCAGCCCTAATGTAATCTCAATTAGCCTGTGGCAGCCCCACAGCTGACAAAAGATAGAAGCTATGGAGAGTACGACCATAATGCAGCTTCCTTACTGAATTGAATATTAATTGCAATGAGTTTATACAATCAGTGCTTTAGAACCTGTTACTGTGAGAAATAAGTCTTCCTGCTGATTGTCTGTCCTTTCATTTACATATTTCCAAGTAGTCATTTCTATTCAAGTCTTCTTGACTTCTAAGACTTCTAAGGAGGCATAAATCTAGTCACATCATCATACATTTTTTCAAGTTAATTCCAGAGCAGAGTTTTGATTAGTTTGTTCTTCCATTCTTGTATTTATTCTCCACTTTATTCTAGGACTACTCAGTTTCAAGAAGTCATTGAGGTCCTGAGGTGCTGAAGAGAAATTTATTTTGGTTAGTGAAAGAATTCCACAATAACAGAATATGCTTTTTAAAACACCTTTCTTCCAGTTTGTTTGGCTTAGGAAGATGTAACTGTAAAATAGCTACATCTCTGCAGGACTAAGACATGGATCAAGCCTATGATCTGAGCTATCAAAAGCAACATTTATCAGTTGGTGATTTTTTTAAACCCAAATGTAGACCATGATGCCGTTGTGATATGTCATTATGTTGCAGGGAGGCTTCATCTAGAACAAAGAGAAGAAAGAAAAATTTAGAGTTCTGCCAAATGTTTGATAACTCTGCTGAATCTAATGTTTGTTTGCAGACGTAATCGACACTTCAAGAGACCAGCAGAATTCTTGTTGGAACAACTTTGCAAGGAAGAAATTATTTTGAACTGTGTCTACACAGTGTTAAAACAAATTTGGTATTTTTCATGATAGAACCATTGTGTCATTCAGCTTTACACCTTCTGTTTTACAGTTGTATCTCAGTCTCAGTTTACACCCTGGATATATATATACTGGAGAGGAAAGGACAAACAACTGAAAAGCATGTCACAACAAATATTCCGTAAATATGATTTGTCTTCTATTGCGAATGCGTTAAACAGAATTCGTTAATAGATCCAGGGGAAAGGAAAAAAAAAAAGAAGAAAGAAAAGGAGTAACAAAAAGAAAAAGGAAAAGAAAAAAAATAAGAGGAAAAAGGAAAAAAAAGAAAAATAAGAAGAACAAAGTAATAAACATCTTTGCCAGTTAACATCTTAGTTAATTGGGCTTGTGGAAGCATGAAGAAGAAAAGTGAATTTTACACTGCCCTGTGACTGAATGTTTACTTACAGACTTCACTTATTTTGCATGTTTTAAGTATTTGTTTATGGAAATAGATGAACCACAGAGGAAGAGAAATCCTAATTCTTAAGTGAACTTTATAACCGTCAGTAGAGAAAAACACAAACAATTCACCCATCTCCTCTCACCCTTTTGTGTCCAGTAGAGTTTCTTTTAGTTGACTTTTATGTCATCTAGATAGTTGCCTTAGAAATCTTAAAACAATGTACTATATGGGATTAGTTGTACAGTTGCTTTTGGACAGTTTTGATTCTGAGCCTAAGAAGCCATATTGCATTGAAATTATGATTCATACTTTATTATTATAGCTGAACATATTTAATGCACTCTGTTTGGAAGATCTAGTATAGAAAGATTCTTCTAAATATTAGTGATATATCAACCTCACAAAGCAAAAAGTTCTGTTAGAAATAAATGTAAAGAAAAGTAAACAAAATTAATTTGAACAAAGCATTAAGAAATCTAAGTATATAATGAAAATAACTGCAAAGTTTTACCTGTTCACTGTTGACAACAATATCTGGAGACTGCAGTGTAGTGGTTTGAATCTTGTTTTCCCCCAGAGGCTAAGAAAAATGGTAAAACCCCAAGGGGTGGAAACCCCTGGAAGTTTTGAAGTTTGGTCCAATGGGCACTCCTGCAAAATGTAAACATTCCACAAGCCAACCGGAAGAGACGAGCTGTAGTTTTTTTGTTGTAGTAGGAGAGGTGGCCATGTTGTAGAGCCACGAGGAAGGGGCTCAGAGCCCACAGGGGGGCTTTGGCCCCCAGCCCCCAGCGGGGGCCTGCGGGGACCTGGAACAGCATAAACCTGGGCCAGGTGTCTGTAGCCGAAAGGCTGGGAGTTTTTCTCTCCATCGTGGGCAGTGGCCGGAGGAGCAGCAGCCGGCACTGACCAGAGAAACGGTGGCAGAGAGCCAGGACAGATAAGAACTGAACCGGAGACAGCAGCAGCAGAAACAACATACAACCAAGTAAGAAAGACACCGAGTTGTCTCGGAGAGCCGAGAAGGAGAGTCAGCAGCTGAGAGACAGAGTTTTGGGGTAAGAACTGTACCAGACCCCCCAAAACTCCTTAGAGACCCCCCTCACATCCTAGAGGGAGGGGTGAAGTGCGACATGCACTGTAGAGAGGAGCCGAGAAGCTCAGAGCGTCCTGAGAGCTGAGCCAGGACGGTGTGGGAGGTTGGCCTTGGGAGCCCTCCCTTGCTGCAAGCTACAAAGAAGCTCGCAGCCATCTGAGACAGGGCACAGAGGCCCTGCAAGGAGCTTGAATCTCCTGAAGATACCAGACCGTCACGAAGACCCTCCTGTGTCTCATGATATGACCGTGGTGGAACGACCTTGTCTGGGGTGACGTAGTCCACAGAGGAAGACCCTCACTGAAGACGGGTGGCCGAGGGGGATTCCCCCTCGTGAGTGCTGGCAGAAATCCAGCTATCAGCTGCATGCATGTGAAGAGGACAGACTTGCTGCCTTAGAAGACTCCTGCTTTGAGACTGGAAGGGATCTGTCTTTCTTCCCTCCTGGACTTTTATTTGGAGGGGAGAAGAGACCTGACCCATTGTAAATACTATATGTCATGGTAGAGATAGTTGTGATCGTGTGTATAATGTATTATAGTATTTATTTGTACAGTCATTGTAATATATTCCCTCTCCCCACTTTGAGTCTGGTGTGTTTTGTCTGGAAAAAAACCATCTCATATTAGGTTGAGATGGGGAAGGGGGCTTAGACTAGGGAATTAGATTTTTGGGGCTATCTCAAACCATGACATGCAGTATAAAAAAAGTGAACTACATGAAAAAGAGAGCTCATTTTCTTGGTCTGAATAACAAGGGAAAAAAAAATTCCATCTGATATAAAGCGAATGTCAAGTCATTTGCATAGGAAGGAAAGGGGTCTGAACTTTTTATTGTGCTATTTAAAGCATGACCTTTGCTTCTATGCTGCAATTGTTAATGTAGGTGGTAAAGTAGCTTACTAGCAGAGATTCCAAATCACGCAAGACAAACCTTCTGAGAATAACAACATATTTTACCTTCAAAGTCTGTTATGCGTTTCCTTAGACCTCCATTACCAGAATAATTTGCTACATAGTGAAAGGAAGAAGTAATAACTTCTCTTCATTCACAGAGCTAATGAATATATTCACAAGTATTGAACCCTCCGTTAGTCTCAGTTTGATGGTTAAAGTTTTATATTTCTTGTATACTTAAAACAAATTAAAATGTCCTTTCTTGTCTAATCATTACTTGGTAAAGCAAAGAATTTTATGAAAAGAATTAAAGAGAAATCTCTTAGAAAAAGAAAAAAAAATGTTTAGGTCTTTAATTGTCAATATGTAGTTAAACACATTCATGTTATTTATTCATATTGACCCGTGCACATCCATAATTTATTATGAAAAAACACCTGAAAGAGCACAGTGATACTGGCATGAAAGTTTACCTAAGTGAACAGATCAGCCGAATGTCTAACATCAAAGGTGCCTTTTTAGCATACCACATAAAGAGTCAAATACCTTACACTTTTTGTTCATATAGAAATTTTATGCCACTGGCTCTTGTCTTCCATAACCGTAAAGTTATAAAGACGATATATTTAGGGTGTTTAAGGAATTTTATTCTGTTTCAGTATAAAAATTATGTGAGAATGGTTTAATTCTGTTTCTGCTTTTTTACTTTTTTTTTTCCCATTATGATGCACTGTGATAGTGGGCTTTTTGGAGTAAGAATTGAACATTAAAAACATAACTGATATTGTATTTTAATTCCTAGCTGGAAGTTTCCAAAATGTTCTCCCTTCAAAGTGATTACCACATTCTATAATCTCTGTGTGTATCTTGTAATGCTCTAACAGATTTAGGTAATAAAAAAAAAAAAAGACCATGGTTATGCAAAAATAGTTTCTCAGTAAAATTCTTAAAGGGGAAGAGGGTACAGGAGGCATCCAATATATATATTCACACAATAGAATCTTTAAATCAAGGTAAATCTGTTCTTAATCCTGAAATGAATTCCAGTTCTATCTGAAAGTAACTTCTTTTCCTGGAACTACTGTTCATTTACCAAAAGGTATATCAGTGCAGCTAACAGCAGTCTTTTGTCTTGAAGTTCCTTTTTTCAAAGAAATCCTTTTTAATTTAGTCCATTGTCAGTTTTGCAGGAATACACTGTGTATTGAGAAAGATCTTTGTGTAATTAGTGTAATGCAACACATCTATAAAGCTCAGATATACTTCATAAAAATAAACACTCTTTGATATTATGTCCATACTAAATTTTAATATAGCATGTCTTCCACCAATATTTCACAGTATTTAACAACAAAATTGATCATGAGAAAATTATGAGTGTTAATGCTTTTAGAGTCTTCCTAATTGCAGGGAATCCAATCTAGCCTCAAATGTAGAGCAGGAAATAATGGCCTCTGAAACTTGACTAGAGAGACAGATTTTAATTATCTGAGAAACACATCAATATCTTTGTTTTGTTTGGCTTAAAGTAAGATCCAAGAAATTATAGGCCCATCAGTCTTACTTTAGTCCTTGGGAAAGTTATGGGATGAATCCATCTGGGGCAGGCAAAAGTCAGATGAAGCACATGACTGGGAAATAAAACCAGCACAGCTTCACCAAGGGCAAATTGTACTTGACAAACCTGATTGCCTTGTATGACAAAGGAACGTGCTCGGTTGATGTGGGACAAGATGTGGACATTGTTTACCTGGATTTCTCCAAGGCTTTTGATAGAGTTTCCTACAGCCTCCTTCTGGAGAAACTGATGCGTTACAATCTGGACAAGTGGTCTGTGCAGTGAGTGGTGAACTGGCTGAGAGGCTGCACCCAGAGAGTGGTGGTAAACGCCTCCTTTTCAAACTGGCAATCTGTCATAAGTGGGGCCCAATGCTGTTTAATATCTTGATGAGTGATCTGGATGATGGAATTAACTGTACCCTGATGAAGTTTGCTGGTGATGCCAAACACTGAGTGGGGAAGTGGACACTTCAGAAGGGAGAGTCACCCTGTAGGAAGATGTGAATAGTGGAAGAACATAGGACATGAATGCAAGAAGAGTGAGACAAGAACCTCATGGAGTTTAACAAAGACAAGTGTAAGGTCTTGCTGATGAGAAATACAATTCGGGAATGCAGTGCAGTCTGGGATCTACATGGTTGGGGACCAGCTCTGTAGAAAGGGACCTGGGGGTCCGGGTGCACAACAAGCTCAATATGAATGAGCAGTGTGCTGCTGCAGCACAGAAAGAAAGCCAACAGGATGCTGGCATCAACAAGAGCATCACCAGCAGAGATGCGCTCTACCCACCACTTGTCAGGCCACAGCTGGAATAGCATGTTTGGTTTTAGTCTTGACTACCCAAAAAACATGTGGACAGGCTGAAGAGGGTCCAAGGAAGGACTACAAAAATAATCAAAGAACTGGGAGGAAGTGGGTTTATTCAGCCTTGAGAAAAGAAGACTTAGGTTAGACCTTATCATCATGATACAGTACTTAAAGGGTCACTATAAAGAAGATGGGAAATTCCCTTTTTACATGGAGTAGCATGGAAAAGACAATGGGTACAAGTCACTTCTGGAGAGATTTCATTTAGACACAAGGGTCAAATTTTTCAGAATGAAATCAGCCATTGGAATAATCCGCCCAGAAAAGTGGTGGATTCCCCATATTGTATACTTTTAAGATTCGTCAGGACAGGGTGCTGGGCCATCTAGACCATACTTTCGACAAGAGAGTTTGCACCAGACAATTCTTGAGATTCCCTTCCAAACTAGTATTCTATTATTCTATGATTTCAAGTACATAATTTAGATAACCATCAGAAAAAAATTAGGGAATAAAAAAAGTGTGTGCTGTTTTGCGCACATTTTATTGGATTGTTATCTTTCAGTTAGTCTGCAGTTCTGGTTAAAAACTATTTGAGATTCATATCTGTTCTGTGAATTTTCTTTTTTTATTGCTTAAATTTAATCAGATCAAAAATCTCTATTCTGGCAACAATTTTGCCAGTAGTGCAATACAATAATTGCACTTCACTGAATCAAAGCTGTATACATTATACTGGAGTAGCAGATTTAAATAATAGGGTTAATCGAAGAAGCTCAGGTGCATACAATGTACTTCTTAGTGCAGTGTGTTATAAGTCTGGTCTATTTCATGTAAAACAGATGACACATATGGCATACAAAGAGATCTACTTGACTCTTTGAAGGAAATAATTTTGTTCTGGAATTCCCAAAAGCAAGTGAAATACATGTACATTGTAGAGGAGTATTGATTAAGATTATTGGCTTATTTGTATAAGGTTTTTGGCATGGTCTAGAGGCAGATATAATACCTAAGGCAGAACAGACACATTCATTAATGGTGCTTACTTTATTATTAAAGAGAGAATGAACAGCGGCAATTAATAAACAATGGTTTACTAAAGAGCTTTCAGCAGAAATTAACTTTTTAAATAATTTATGAGGTAGTATCAGAGATTTTAGTGCTGTGTTTCATCTAAAAATAGTGTTGAAACTGGTCTTCAAATGAACTTCTTTCAACATATGACATAAAAGTTTAGAGCTCAGTTAACAGAAGATA